TAGAGGACGTTCTACAACTAGGTGGTTAGACGAGATCATGCGCATGCAGCAGAGTGCTCAAGATCGGATGCAATGCAATTTCAGTAAAGAAGTTTACAGAAACTATACAGTTGTAGTAAAGTAGGTCAAAGAAATTTTAGTATACATTTCTGAGACGTAATTATCAAATCATGCGATATAAGGAATTACAAGAAATGCTTATTGTCATAACCAAATTTATTCGCCGTTAAATGGCAACTGCCGTTCTAAATATTAAAAAAAAAATCTGCCTTATTCCTGAATAAATATTAATAATCTTGATTGTCATAAATAAATCTACACGTTCTAAAATATTATTAAATATCTGACGTGATGTTAAAATCTGAAAATTATTTTGACCTTTGTGAAAAGCTCTGAATACTTTACCAGAAAGCAAATTAAAATTAACGTGGTGCTACGCTTGGAACTTTGACTCACGAAAGGCTCCCTCTTAATTAAACAATAATTTGAACACTGGAGAGTATATTTCAAAGTTAAATTTAAAAAATCTTTTTGAATATATATTTAACGTAAACACAATGGAAATACATATTTTGTATTCACGGACCGACCACAGGTCGTTATCCGAAACTTTACTTTGTAATATAAAAGGCCAATAATAATGCGGTGTGTAACCCATTAACTTATCCTTGTGAAAAGCCAATATTGAAGTTCGGCTCTACTAAGAATGAGCCTCGGATTTTGCAAACATTTCTGATCATGTTTCAAGTGCGGATTATTTCTGGCCATTATTGGTTTTTGATATGGGTATCGGGTGGCGGATGAAAGAGGATCGGCTTTGTTTGCTTCGATGTTTACGTCTTAGCGCCAACAATATCGGATTTAATCCAGTAATAGGTCTCGGCACTACGACATATAATAAATATTACTATCGTATGTAGAAATTACCAAATACAGGTAAAAGATATTTATCTCTTTTTTTTTTCTTTTTTTTACTAAGTTTTATCCTCTATGGCAGGGATGCACTGCACAGACTTATTAAGACTAGGGGCCACTCAGGCAAATCATGAACTGATGGCGGGCCGGCCGCCAGAAGTATAGGTAATTAAAGACAATAAAGAATTGATAAAAATTTATTAAAATTGACAAATAATTTATTTATTTGAAGCGTGACACTGCAGAGTGCTTACAATCTTTTTATATTTGGCTCAAATTTACTTGTCATTCATCATCATCATCATTCCTCAACCTCTTGCATCCACTGTTGGATATAGGTCTCCTCCATGTTCTTCCACTGTTCTCTATCTTGCGCTTTCTGTATCCAATTTCCGACTGTTTTTCTCAAGTCGTCCATCTATCTTTTTAGTGGTCTGCCTCGGTGTCTTTTGTCTTCTCTAGGTCTCCATTCTATGAGTCTTTTGGTCCACCTATTATCATTTAAACGTGCTATATGTCCAGCCCATCTCCATTTGGCTTGTGCAATTTTTTCTATGACATCTGTCACTTTAGTCCTCTCTCTTACTATCTTATTTTGTACCATATCTCTTCTAGTTATTTCCAACATTGCTCTCTCCATTTTTCTTTGGGTTACTCTCAATTTATTTGCAGAATGTTTGGTTAAAGTTATTGTTTCGGAACCATATGTTACTACTGGCAGTATGCATTGGTTGTAAACCTTTTTCTTCAAGCAAATCGGTAGCGTTCCTTTTAGAATATCTCGTCTTTTCCTATTCTAATTTCATGCCCTAAATAGATATAGCTAAAGACCTGATGTACTTTGTTCCCATCTACCCTCATAACATCACTTGGAACTAAATTGGTCATGTATTTTGTTTTTTCAAAGTTTATGTTCAAGCCTATTTGTTTTATTGAATGTTTTAGTTCTTCCATCATTTTGTGAGCTTCATTTAAACTCTCGGCTATAATGACAATATCATCTGCAAAGCGCAAGTGGCTTAAGTATTCACCATCAATATTCATTCCCCTTTTAGACCAATTTAGTTTTTTAAAAGCCTATTCCAGAGCTGCAGTGAATAGTTGGGGGGAGATGGTGTAGCCCTGTCTAATTCCTCGCTCAATTCTATATTTATTGGTAAAGTCATGGAGTTTAACAGATGCTGTTGCATTATTGTATCAAATTTGTATATCTATAGTCTACTCGGCTTTGTTCTATTGTTCCTAATACTGCCGGTAATTCCACGGTATCAAAAGCTTTCTTAAAGTCTATGAAAATCAACGTGAGTGGTTTATTATATTCAACACATTTTTCAATTAGTATTTTAAGTGCTTGTAGGTGGTCATTTGTTCCATAACCTTTCCTAAACCCAGCTTGCTCCTTAGATTGATAGAAATCTAATTTTCGTTCTAAACGTTTTGTGATGATCTTGGTAAACCATTTGTAGAGATGTGACAACAGACTTATCGGTCTATAATTCTCTAGGTCTGATATATCTTCTTTTTTGTGTATTAGGATAGTAATTGCATTGTTCCATTTTGTAGGGAAGATACCTTGGTTTAGACATAGGTTGAATAGTTCAGTTACTACTTCCAGCAGTTTCTTGCCTCCTACTTTAACAGCTTCTATTACTATTTGGTCATCTCCCGGAGCCTTGTTGTTTTTTATTTCCTTTAGAGTTCGTTTCACTTCTTCTATCGTTATGGTAGGCAGAAGTTCGGATCCTTGGTTCATTACTCTGCGTTCTCTAATTTGTGTTTTGTCTTCTTCTGTTAACTGGCTTTTGTATAATTCCTTATAGAAGCTTTTTGCTATCTCTACTATTCTCTCTCTATTTGTTGTTATATTACCTTCCTTGTTGTTTAGTTTAACAATTTCCTTTTTACCATCACAAAGCTTTCTTCTGAGTATTTTCATATTTCCATTTTGCTTAATCACATTTTGTATTTTCTCAGTATTATACTTCCTCTGATCTTTACGAATTGCTTTTGAGATATCTCTGATCTCTTGATTTTTCTTTCTTTAATAAGCTTTCTGGTGTTTTCGCTCAGTTTCTCTTCTTTTCCGGCTGATCTAGCACAGTACTGTTTTTGTGCAGTCATTAACGCTTCTGTGATTGCATTATTTACGGTTTCAACATCTGTCGAAAGAGGGTTGTTTAAGGCCCGATTTATAGCTTTCACATATTCTTTGGTGTTTTCTGGTGTACTCCATTTTTTCAATTCTCTTCTCTTTATTAATCTTGTCCTTTAATTTTTTAAGTTTAACGGTATTGTAGCTCTCACTGCTCGATGATCGCTACCAATGCCAAACTGATTTAATACTGTGACATCTTTGACATATCTTTTATGTGTTGTTATGAAGAAATCTATTTCATTTTTTACGTTTCTATTTGGGCTTACCCATGTCCATCGTCTATGTGGCTTCTTTTGGAAAAAGCTATTCATCAAATATAACTGATGGTCATGAAGAAAATTTAATAGTGTCTGGCCTCTCTCATTTCGACCTTCTAAACCGTCTTTTCCTATTGCAGTCTCTGCATCATCAATTTGAGTTCCTACCTTGGCATTGAAATCTCCCATAAGAAAAGTAAAATGACATTTTGTTTCCGATAATGCTGTTGTTAAATCTTCATAGAAGTTTTCGATTTCTTCTTCTTCATGTGCTGATCATAACATTGTACAACTTTCATTTTGTATCTATTATTCAGTGATTATTATATATATATCACTCTCTCTGATATTTGATTAATATCCAATATACTGTGTACATGTTTTTTATGGATAAGCAGACCAATGCCACCATTTGAGTTTTCCAGGTTGCCATTTGTGTATAGTATGTGACCTGATTTCAAGGTTAGAAGTTGTTCTTCACGCTTCCGTCTAATTTCGCAAAGTCCTATTATGTCCCATTGTATACTACTTAGCTCTTCTTCGAGTTCTAGGAGTTTATCGTCTGTTGATAGTGTTCTTACATGTTTTATTATTATTTAGTATTGAAAAAGTTTGTTTACATTAGAACCAAAGAAGCTGTCACATTTCAGAGCGTTTATGCGCAACTCTTCGTACATATTTTTATCAATGCACCGGTAAAAGTTCAGCAAGTCTCCTTCGTTGAATTTATTGCGTAAATCTTGGTCGTTTTGAATGTCGATAATTTCTAACTGCATTGACTCTGGCGCATTTTCAACTGAAATCGTGAAGGGATTGCTGAATATGTCCAATAGAGGTTTCACTTTTTTAAACTCCGAAAATCTTTCTTAAAAAGATTGAATCAAAATATCTAGCTTTTCTACATAACTGAAATTAATCGCAGTTTTGTTGAATTTTTCAGCCACTTTCTTATAATTCAGAAAATGATTGTAATTTCCAGAATTCAACTGTGATCTGAAAAGTATCAGCTTGCATTGAAAGGATGATACATGAGCGTAGAGCTGGGATATCAGTTGATTTTTGCCTTGAAGCCGTGTGTTCAAGACATTCAAATGATTTGTAATGTCAACTAAAAAAGCCAAATCACACAACCAATCAGAATTTTTAAGTTTCGGGACATCTCTTTGCTTTTCCGCCAGAAATATTCTAATTTCTTCTATTAAATTTAAAAATCGTTCCAGTGTCAATCCACGACTTAGCCACCTTACTTCTGTATAATACAGTAAATCTCCGCTATTCGCTTTCGATGCCATCAAGGAATTGTTTGAATTGTCTGTGATTGAGTCCTCGTGATTTTATGAAATTTACAATCGAAACAACCACTTTCATGATATTTTGAAATTCAATTTTTTTAGAACAGAGGGCTTCTTGGTGTATAATGCAGTGAAACTGCATAAGATCTTCAGCGTTTATGTTTTTTTTCTTGCAGATGCTTTGCAGTTACTCAGCAAAGTAACTAGCCCGGAATTGACATCAATCATCGAAGGAGCACCGTCAGTCGCAACTCCCGATAATTTTGATAAGTCCAAATCAGTTTTTGAACACTCATCCAAAAGAACATTGAGTATATCAACTCCTTTGGTTTGACCTTTCAATGAACACATTTCTAATAACTCTTCTATGACTTCAAAATCTTAAGTAACACCTCGTATGAATATGAGAAGTTGAACTGTGGAACTAATATCAGTGGATTCGTCGAGTGCTAATGAAAAAAATTCAATGATCTTGGATTTTTCAATTAACTGTTCCGCAATATTACCTGACAAAGATATTATTCGTCTTTGCATAGTCATACGATTCAGTTGAATTTTCTCAAACTTTTTTGATGCTTCTGGACATATCTTCTTAGCGGCAATTTCTATGCATTCTTTTACAAAATCGCCATCATTGACGGGGCGACTTCGCTTTGCTATCATTCGAGAAATTTCATAACTAATAATATATAATGTTTTTATACTATAAAAACATTATACTAATAAGTATAATGTTTTTATACCAAAATACACAATTGTGAAGTGTTTTAACGTCTGTGTTTTTTTTTTTTAATTTCATAAATAACTTCTGTAGCTGTTTTTGAATCTTGAATGGGTTTTGTAAACATGGGTTGCTGACCAATAAGCTCCCGCTATAAAGACAACATTTTTTGCTTTCTTAATTCACCTCTAAACTTGGTAAAAGAAGGATGCTGCGTTTCATAGTGCCTTTTTACATTATATTCCTTTGCAATCGCAAAAGAATTCTTGCAAATTAAACAAACGATTTTGTTATGCGACCATACAAAAAAGTATTTCTCAGTCCAAATTTCTTGAAACTTGAAACTGCCGATTTTCATCTTTAACCTTACGTTTTTCACTAGGTCCTGGCTTCTCCATGTTGTGTTCTAATCCTGGCTAGGATTAACACAGCACTTGAAAACAATTACATGACCTACTTAAATTACCCATCCTTTTTTAAATTAACAAAAATAATTGATTGAATATTATTCCTAAGAAATTTTAAGATTTTTATACAGATTTTATATCTGAAATAATGACGTAATTTTATAGTTTATAGAAAATTATAATTTCCAAATTAGCCAAGGTTATAAGAGCGTAAGTCCTTATCCATATCAGAGCCAGATAAACGCAACTCCACTTACTACATTATGGCTCTAAGGTTTTGCTTGAAATGTGTTAAACGTAAGTCCAAGCTAGACTCTGTGGTGAATGCAGCTCAACTGGTTTCTTATAGTGACTCCGTAAACAATACAAACGTAGAGACTCAAGAAAAAGGCAAAAAACGAATAAGACATTGAATGAAGAAAAATGAAAAAAATACATACATATAAGGAAGAAGAATAGACTTGCTGGGAAGGAATATGGTTAACACAAAAATATGGTTGTTAAAAAAATATCAATATTAATGATAAGTTTTGCCTAAAATATTGAACACTCTGAATATTGGAATGCTAAAAGAAATTGGGACTCAAAACGGCAGTTTGTATTACCTTGTATAAGAACTAAGCCAGTTAATCATAGGCAACGACAGAGAGATGGAACAAGAAAGAACAAATCTAAAAGTCATTTGTTTTTTTTTTAATTATATAAAAAAGAGGAAGTAATTTGCAAAATGTTCTTCTTAAATACACTTTCAATTTCAGAAACTTTTATGAGAGTAGATAAAAAGACCAGTGCATCTGGATTGGTAACTACAGACCTTAGGGGAAAACATATGCCAGGTAACAAAATACCTATAGATATAGATAGAATACAATGAATCAAAAATCATATTTCAAAGTTCCTTATATATAAAAGCCACTACAGCAGGGAAAGGTCTCAACGAAAATATTTGAGAAATCTGATATGGCTGGTTTACTCCATCTTTTACAAAGCAGCTATCAGTATGTCAATGATAGATCTACAAAAAGCAAGTTTACATACCTTCAAAACAAACTACACAATCGTTTAGGGAAAGAGATTTCTGACTTAGATAGTGACTCTTCTGTAGACAATTCTTCAGTATCATCTAACTCCAAATCTATTAACAATATTGAACTCAGTACTTCAATGAAATATTAATGGAATTTCCATCGTCTCCCTATGTTACAGCTTCTTTTATCTGAATATTTTCCAGATAGCCAGAATTCTACGCCATATACCGTGCTGTGACACTTCTTAACGAGCTTACACTCACAAAAGCCCTGATCATAACGGATTCCCTTAGCTCTCTAAACTCACTAAAACACATTTTTACGAAACATCGTTTTAAAAAGTGGCTAAAATACCAGCTTTCCCAAGCTTATGAACATGGAAGAAGCGTCCAATTTTTATGGGTTCCCTCACACGTTAGAATAACGGGAAATGAAGAAACTGACAGGGCTGCACGAAAGGCAATTTTAAGTGATTTATCGGAACCTATAGATGGTGTAGAAGTGTGTTTCCAGTAATTTAAAAGCTTATTTTAAAAATAAAGTGTGGTGTTTGTGGCGAAATAATGGGTCTCAGTGGTTTCCATCGTCGCGCAATAGACGAGAACAAATTGCGGTTGCGCTTTTACGTCTATCTATGATATGTAATCAATCTATGGGTGTTTAACTTTGTTATTTATATTTTGTTATTTCGCTAATAACCTTTTGATGGATGCGACATCTTTTTCTATTAAAAAAAATGCGGTACGTGAAAGTGAAATGCTGAGAAAAAATTGTGAGGATTAAGGAAACTACAAAAAATATTAAAACTGATGAAGAATTAAAACAAAATCGTTCTTCTCTAGCAAAAGTGAGTTATAATGTTTTTCATATCAGTTGTCGAATTGAGAAGGTTAATGCTTTACTTTAGGACTGTAGCACCAGTAACGATCATAATCATTTTTTTTAAATGGATGTTTTAAAGTCTTATTCATGCATATACTTATTCAAATAAATAAATGTGGATAAAGAACTACTAGTTTCTTCTAAGTCTATTTGGTCTTGTTTATTTGTTATTGATTTTAATATTTCTATATTTTGCTGTCCGTTGTTATTCAGATGACGTAATTTGTGTAAAGTTCAATTTTAGAATTATTACTTATTTAAAGGAAAATAAAAAAAACTCATTACAAATTGATTAGAATATAAATTATTTTAAAACCCTCTAACACTATTGACATAATCCACATGTTGTCTACCCATTATTAAACAGCCTACTAATCAAATTTTCATGGTTGATGCAGTTAAACGCTCTACCGAGACCGCAAATGATCCAGTCGTATTATTCAACGGCATCAATCAATGAACTAATCTAAATGGACATTCTGGACCCGTTTCTGCACTTCCATTCGATTTTGTCGTTGAACGGTTCACTAAAGTATAAGCTTTAAATCGATTACTATCACTTTTGCCGTAAATTTACGATATTGTTTAAAGCAATCATAGCTTTGGAAATGTCACATACATAACTAGCGTTAATTTTTAATTAGGGCAACAATGTTGTAGTTCGAAAATTGAAATTTGTATTTTGTAGTCCATGTATCGAATCTATTTAATTTATATATTATTAAAAAAAACGTTCATTATCAGAGAGGTTACATTAAAAAATAATATCCTAAAATATTTAATGAATGTTTTTTTACTTACTAACTTACAGGCTAAAACCATATTTAAGCTTCAACCCAACGGTTAGACATGGGTTTTTTCATAATTGTGTGGAGATCGACTTTAACGAAATGGAAACTAGCACATAAGGATAAGGATAGAACGTTTTTGTGCCCGTTTAGGATCGGTTTATCCTCTTCAGGCTTGAGTTGAATGTGTTGATATAATACAGTACAAAAACAAACAGTCCCAGAAACCACTGGAATCTTAGGGTTTTTCTTCTTCTTCTGGAGGTTATTGAGATGGAGTCACTATTGAATCAGGGGTAAAAAAGGCTTGACTTCTAATTCCAGTCAAGACATCCATTAAAGTCAAGACATCCAAGCATCTAATTCCAGTCAAGCCTCTCAGCTGATTCAATAGTAACATCATCTCAACAACCTTCAGAAGAAGAAGAATACTAACACCCCAGTGGTTTCTGGGACTGTTTGCTTTTGTACTGTATTATATCAACCTTCACATTCTATCAAACGTTCTATCCTTATCGTAAAAAAGAATTACTTGCCCTATCCTCGAGAACGAATATTGACTGACTGACTGAGTACAACGCTTGGTCAGTTTCAGCTTACAAGTGAAGCAGCAACATCTCCAGAAGATACCAACCCATAGTGTTAGCGAAACGTCGAGAAGTAATCTCAGAAGACAACGGCCTTACAGCCTGAACAAACATTTTTAAAAGGTTAAAAAAAATACAAGAAAAACATGAACTTTTGGTAAATAGATGGAATTTGACCAGAGGATTTGATACCTACAGGGTATGCCAGAAAATAAATTGCCTAATAAAATGGAAAAATGAACTCCACATACTAGAAGAAAACAAGGTAGATTAAGATCGTCATTTGGAGAATATGTCGAAGATGCAATGAGAACCAGGGATTTAAAAAGTAAAGATTTCTTGCACAGAAAACGCTAAAAATTAGGATGCTAGAACCGGCGCCAGCTGTTGAAGATTCGCATATTATATATTATAGGTATATACCTTCTTTTTCAGATCAACTCCAGGCCGTGTGAAGGCCAACGAGCAAGAAGGGGCAATGTTTTCAAATTTCAGCAAGGTACTTCCTGACATATGCGCCTAAATTTAAAAATAATTCGTTGAACCTTAGGTCAACGAATACTGGATTCCTTCAAAATAAGAAAACTACAATATCTAGGTCAATATGAAGATAATAACTAATAGGTTGACATCAAAACTAGACTTCTATCAACCTTGCGAGCAAGCAGGATTTCGAGATGGATACGGAACAAATGATCATTTGCAAACCATTAAGTCGTTGATTAAAAAAACCATTAAATATAATAGACCCCTTATACTTGTTTTTGTCGACTTTGAAAAAGCATTCGATACAGTCAATCAAAGTGAAATGCTCCAAGCTCTAACACAATGTAGAATAGATCACCGATACATATCTCTCATCAGATACATCTATCAACATGCTACAGCCTGTGTAAGACTTAATGAAGATACTGGGACTTTTCGTATTGAAAGAGGCGTTCGGCAAGGAAACAACATGTCTCCTAAATTATTTACAACTTTGCTAGAATACGCTTGTAAAACAATAGATTGGAACGAAAAGGGCATCAACGTAGATGGAAAATTTTTAAATAACCTTAAGTTTGCAGATGACATCGTTCTTATTGCAAACAGCTTTGATCAGGCACAGATAATGCTCCAAGAACTCCATACTGCCACAAAAAGAGTTGGTCTTAAAATAAATTTTTCAAAAACACAATTTATGACAAATTTAGTCCACAACAAAAACATCTCAGTAGAAGACAAAGATATTGAGCCAGTTGACTACTATA